AAAAAAAAAAAGGGCCAGAACTCTCTTCAGCGGGGCTCTAGAGAGAAAGCCGGCTCTCATCCCAGTGTACACCTGATGAGGTATATAATCGCAGTTTTATCAAGGGAAGGGGGAGGTTTGAGACCTCTCAGTGCCCGCCACCTGAAAATGGCCTTAGGCCTCTCACCAAGTGGGGCAAGACCCCTAGTGGGGATCCCAACCTTGAAGCACAAAGATGGTGCTTAATTTCATACTAAAGGAGGGCGCAGCCAGCAAAGTTTTTTTGGGTTTGGGACCCGGATTTGTTACCCTCCCGGGGGGGATCAGGGGACTCGGGAGTCCTTCGGGCACGGGATAAGTTTACAGGGGGGACTCTCCAAACCCCCCTGTTACCCCCAGCTCTCTGTGGGGCACAGGGGGGGGGCCCCCCCCCCCCCCCCCCCGCCCCACGGGCCCTGCTCTATGTGAGACGGGGTAGAGCCATACCTCCCCATCGACCCTACCCTGAGTGTGACAGGGTGTGGCGCCCCAACTCCCCCCCCCACCACGGGCCCTGCTCTGTGACAGGGGGCGGTGCCCCAACTCCCCTATTGGCCCTACTCTGTGTGTGACAGGGGGGAGCTCCTCAACCCCCTGATTGGCCCTGCTCTGTGTGTGACAGGGTGTGGCGCCCCACCCCCCCACAGGCCCTGCTGTGTGTGACAGGGGGCGGTGCCCCAACTCCCCTATTGGCCCTACTCTGTGTGTGACAGGGGGGAGCTCCCCAACCCCCTGATGGGCCCTGCTCTGTGTGTGACAGGGGGCAGCGCCCCAACCCCCTGATCGGCCCTGCTCTGTGCGTGGCAGGGGTGGCGCCGCAACTTCCCTATCGACCCTGCCTTGAGTGTGACAGGGGGCGGCGCCCCAACTCCCCAATCGGCCCTGCTCTGAGCCCGACCAGGGGCTGCACCTAGGGATTGGGCCTGCCCTCTGCCACCCGGGAGCAGGCCTAAGCCAGCAGGTCGTTATCTCCTGAGGAGTCCCAGACTGCGAGAGGGCACAGGCCAGGCTGAGGGACTCCCTCTCCCTCCGAGTGCACAAATTTTTGTGCACCGGGCCTCTAGTATATACATAAAAGCCTAATATGCAAAGTGTTCCCTCTGGAGTTTGACCAACCAGGAGTTTGATTGCTCACTATGACGTGCACTGGCCACTAGGGGGCGGTGCAGGACAAAGGAAGGCTGCAACCAGCAGCTGGCAGCCAGGGAAGGGAGGCCCCAGCCAGCAGCCAGCAGCCGCTAGGGACCCTACCCACG